TCATTTGGGATAATCATGTGGGAAGTTTTGTATGGGATAACTGTATCTTATATTGTTGGTAAATCAAAAAATGAAGCAGAACTTCAATTGCGAATATGCTGTGATGGTTTACGGCCGCCTATTAATAAAGAAGCAACTTCGTGCTATGTGGATTTGATGGGAGAATGTTGGAGCAAGGAACCTAAAAATCGACCATCTGCAGAAAAACTCTGTGAAATTTTTAAAAAGTGGCAAGATGATGAAAGCATCTTATTAGAATTGAACAAATCAAAAATAAAACTTAAAAACATCGAAAAATCATACGCCGATATGATTAACAAAGGAAGTAAATTTTATCCTCTCACAACAAAATCAATTTTTGATAGTGAACTGCAAGATCTGGCCATCAATGAATAAAATAATATAAATTAAAAATTATATAGCAAAAAATATTTAGATTATGTTAGCTTGTTAAATAAATTATCATATTAAATTGCGTCATAATTTTACGATTACGTCAAATGGTTTAAAATGGATTAAAAACAAACAATATTTGCCATCCCAAATTCTGGTCACTAAATGCCGAATTTTATGAGGTCAGCCCTTAGATAATCCAAAATTCGGGGTTGAATGTATTAGAGCTGGGCTGGCATGGCATTAGTGTAATTTCTATTTACTGAAAAAAAAAGAACTTACTCGTTAATACAATAAACACACTGATTAAGATTGAGTTTGTTCGTATTGAAATTGTCACAATTTCTACTATTGATTATTGGTGAGTTGACATTATTATGGTTTTTGTAGAGTTACTGGGAAAACAAAGCTTATTTGCCACTTCGGTAACAATAAAATGTAGTTAGGTTGAGTTTGTTTGTATTGTTTTTATGATGGGATACTTTAAAATTCTATTACAGGTCTTCCAGTGTCTATAGTATATGATTAAAGTTAGTTTGTATTGGAATTACCGTAAATTCTGTCTTCAAAATTAGGTTGGATTTATTGAGATATAGTTAAGTTTGAGTAGTATTAGGGATGAAAAAAAAACGGTTAAACAGTTTTTTAGATGGTTTAAACCTTTTTAAAAAACTTTAAAACATTGTCGCTGAGACAAATTTAAAATTTAGTGCTAAAATGCTGATTCGCCAAATTTCATAGAGAAAACTTTTAAAGAAAAATATTCGCTTTATAAACTTTCGTTATATAATTGCAGTTGCTTAACTATATTTATATATATTTTTTATTTTTTTGCACGCACTTTTTAATTTAATGCATAACTATAGATTTAATTATCATCATCTTCGAACCAGCCATCAATCTCAATTTCTTTTTGAATTCTTAAATTTATTTTTTATTTTTTACCGTTCATTATTTAATAACTTTTTGGAAGTTTTTTGCATCAATATTAGCGATTCTTTAATTAAGCGACTAAATCCACAAAGCCCTCTTCACTGTAGTTACACTTTTGACAAGGTGCAGTTTCCGTAAGTTTTGTAAATTTCTTTTAACGGAGCATGATTGTTTATAATTTTATCTTTAAAAAGAGATAATGATAAAGTTGTATTTTGATGAAATTAGTTAAATAAATAAATAAACACTATCCCATTGTTACGTATTATGATTACGTCAGAATGTATTATATCATTAAAAACTGTTTAAATCAAACAAACATATTTTAAAACGTTCCATTTTAAAACAGTTTCCATCCCTAAGTGGAAACATTTTGCAAGAAATTTCGAATAATGCAAATATCACTGAACTTGGGGTTCGGGTCGTTTCACTAACAATCAATTCCCCGACATATTACAGCTGTTTTCATAAATTCAAGGACATTTACCGAAGTCTATTCGAATTCGATAAATTATTGATTTCGATATGATTAGTGCGTGATCAGTATATAATTAATAGTTATTGGATGCGAAGCATCCAATAACTATAGTATTCGGCACATTGATACTGATTAAATAGTGATCAGCTGATCACTATTTAATTAGTATCGGGTGACGAATACGAAAACGTATCTGGCATATTAAATTCCAGGTTCCCAGGCCAGATACGGAAGTTATTGGTGCGGAGCATCCAATAACGGTTTTATCCGGTAGATGACGACGATCAGACAACTTATGACGCCTATAAATACATTAGACTTTTGTTTTTTTGTTTTTTTTTACTTTTTATGAAGCAAAATGCCAAAGGCGAAGGTCAATATTAAATAGGTTTTGATTGTTTTTTTTAAAAAAAAATTAATATATTACTTTTTATAGTCGAATACCAAGTATTATAAGCCATCACAAGAAGAAATTCTTGCAACACGAACTGATACCATTCCTGAAAACACTAAAAAAGCCACTGACAAGTGGGTTCAAATTTTACAAAACTGGCGTCATACAGTTAGTTACAATTATGAAATTGAGGCCATCAGCAATAAAGACCAATTGGAAAATGAAATGACCGAATTTATATTGGGAATACGCCAAGTTAAAAATTCTGCAGAATATGCACCTTCTTCTTTTATTAATTGTATCAATCTGTTGAGTTTATATCTTCTTAATCACCCTAATGGAAATCGACAGTTTACTTTATCAAATAAAAAAGAATTTAGATTGTTGTGGTCTACATTAAATGGAAAATTGAAGCAATTGAAAAAATCTGGAACAATCGTAAAGCATCATGATAATTTAACGGATGAAGAAATACAAAAAATATTTCAGCATGATTCGATTTCTATTAACAGCCCTCAAGGTTTACAATATCGTATCTTCATGTGGTGTTGTCTCTTGTTTCAACCTAGAGGCGGTGAACATTTTTTGATTAAAATTTCACAATTTGTGTTTACTTCGGATGGAGGGTTGAAATTTACTAAATACTCACAAAAGAATGACCAAGGGGGTATTGAAAGCGATAATACTGGCTTAGTAATACCTGTACCATCTGATCCTCTTGAATCTCAAGGCCCCATTCATGATTTAAAACTTTATTTTTCAAAACGCCTTAAAGACTGTAAATGTCCCTATTTGCATCTTCGAATTAATCATAAATTTAAATGTAAGTATATATATATTTACAATTTATTATTATATTAATTATAACTATACAATTATTATTGTTATTAATTACTAATACTTTAATTTATTTTAGATGATGTATGATATAATCATGCTAAAACCTAGAATGGGTGGGTTTTATTGTTAGTATTTTTAAAGAAGAATATATCTTTATATAATATAGTTCAATGGGTGGTGCAAGGTGTTATCCATCTTATTTGTATTTTTATTACAGATTATCATAAAAAAAACTTAATTGCTATTTTAGTAACAATAATATACTAATAACATGCAGGTAGGTTGAATTAGTTTGTATTGGAAATTTCATAATTTTGATGATAAACAGCTTGTAATAAATATTTAATTAATACTTATTTTGACTAATTATTTCAACACATATAGATATACTATATATATACAAAAATAAAATATAATTAAATTGTATAATAAATATAAAAATATTCAAAAACTTAATTTATGCACTAATTATTATAAATAAATAAAGTTAAGGCTACATGAAGTTGATTTTTCATTTTATATTACAAAATATTCCTAATGTCTGGTCAATTAATTAGATTTTTAATTAATTCAAATTAAATTTAACTTTAAGGCAATGCAAATTTAATTTTTTATATTGAAAATTTGAAAAATAGATTACAGATAATGAAACTAAAAAATCAATTTTGCATGAACTTATTGGGTTGTTTTTCTTTTTTTTTCTTGTGAATATAAAATAGTAGATTGAAAACATTTCTAATTTTTATACTGTTCATATGAAAACAAATTTGGATCTGAATTTCAAATTCTGCTCAATAAATAAAATGTATTAAATTACGTCAACCCTCCGTTCCCATTATATAAATCTAATAGTTTGTTATATTTTCAAATCTGATACCTCTCAAAATTGATACAAAACCTGTCCACTATGCATACTGATTCTGAGAGGGTCGGCTGTATACATTTCTTTGAGTGGATTCATTTTCACAAATTTATGAATTTATTATTAATTAGTATTTATTCAACTCACATTTAAGTAATCTATTAAAGTTTAAAGATGTTTACAATTTTCCAGTAAATTAATTTTTTTTTTTTTACATAGTTAGTGACTACGCAAATTGAATGTTCATTTGAATAACATGAGAATTAGAAACTTTTAAAACCCTTTTTTATAGTAGATCTTTTGTGTAATTTTGGAAAATTAAGATGCCAAATAAATTTTAGAAAAAATTAAATATCAAAACTGAAATAATTAGAACAATTGGAACTTGAAAAGTTTTTTTATTTCAAATTTTGTTGGCAGTTGTGCAAAATGAAATTAACTTTGTGTGGCCTAAGATATTTCTAATTCTAGATTATCTAATAAAAATTTTATTTTAATTATGATAATTTAATATAAAAGTGAGTATTTGCACTATTTTATTCTATTTTATTCTGTATATTTGTGGTACCATATTTGCACATAATAATGCGCAGAGGTGTTATTTTGAGTCACGGCCTGAGTTAAATTTAATTTAGCCTGAAATTCAAGATACACTCCTGAATGTTATTACATGCAAATATGCTATATCTATACTTTTTGAATATTCTAAAAAATAATAGTCAATATAAATAATGACTAAATAACTATTTCAAACTGTTGCAATTCTTCTTCAATCTTCAAGAAACCAATATTCAATATCTTTTTCTTCTATTTCCCAAATAAATTTACAATCTTTAATTGGCCAAGATTCAAATTCACTCTTACTTAATATTTGATTATTAGGATATGGTTCTGATTTCATTTTTTCAGATTCTTCTTTCCAAGAATTTGTAATTTTTGGATCATCATAAAAACAAATGTATTTTGCTCTTATTTTATCTTTAAACTTGGAATCTAAATTATTAAATTCTAATGATTTTTTAAGAAGAGCAAATTCATGAATAAGGTCAATTTGAAAACGATATACACCACGTTTACCATCTGTGACTGCACCTGAAAAGGCATCACTTTTTTTAAAAAAGAGTTAAAACTTAGTAAGAAATAATAATAGTAAATTACAAAATAAAGAACATACCCCATGAATGAAATGATTACATTCTGTAATATCATCACAAAAATAAAACTGCCAACTATACTAATTATAGTAAGTGGCCAAAAACTCCAAATATCAAATGAAATTGAAGACCAATCATACACTGCAATTATGGCATCAACAATATTAGAAAATGGATCAAATGTCATTGAAGATTCGTTTAACCCAATGTAAGAAGGAAAACCGAGAAGAATAAATCTAAATTAGATATAAATTAAATAAATAATACATATATTTTAATATTCCAAAGTTTAGTAAATATATCATGGATGAATAAAAAAACTTACAATGCATGTCCCTGATAATGCAGCATGGAAAGCATAAATATCAGATATCATATTTAAAATAAGTATAAAATGTATAAAATAATGATTAAAATATTAATAATATATAGCATAAAGTTAATAACTATTACCATTGCAAAAACAACTAGGATAAAAAACAATAAAAATTGTCGTATTGAAATAATAATATTTAAGAGTATATTAAGGTTATGCGCAAAACCTAGATTAAAGTATAATAATCATAAATGTAAATCAAAATAATCATTTATTAAGGTGAATTATTAGCAATACTGCACCTTCGAATATACGTAGTAATAAAATCTTACAGAGTATATGAAATGAATAATATGAAATTTTTTTAAAAAGACTTTGTAATTATACAGAATTGGATAAAAATATACTTACAAATTCGTACCAAAGAACCAAAATACTTAAAAATATAATGACTGTCAAAACTTGACTGCTTTCAGCATTTTTAAAACCATCATTAAATGTATAAAAACAAATTAAAACATAACTAAGGATAAATATCGGTATAATAAGTGATAGAATATCCACCAGATTAAAAAGATCTAAATAATATTGCCTTCCTTTACGATAAAATTGTTTAATTTCAACCATAATGTGATAATATGATAAATAATAAAATAATATAATTGTTGTAATTATCAGAATATGTTGATATGTTTCAGATATTTGTATATGAGAAATGTATGCCCAAGAAATAATTGAATATGTTAAAAAGTATAAGACAAAAATACACAAGGTTCTGGGCCAATGAAATTTAGAGCAATACCACATCCAATTCATGACAGCTCCCATTGACGGGTTTTCATATATAGTATCTCGTTCACCTTTCATTATTATCTTAATAAAAGGACTATAATCCTCTTCTTTAAGAGACGAATATTGACTTGGTGAAATTAAATTCTTTAGAAAATTTGTAGATTTTCTTTCTCCTATATCCGATACTTTTTTGTTTGTTGCAAAATCTGTTAAAGGGACCATTCGAATATTAACAATTTTACCATAACTGTAGCAAATTTAAAGCAAAAATGAATTAGTTATTGTAGAATATGCCAACTGATTTTTAGCAAATTATTTTCATACTCAATCTCTTGCAGATCCAACTCAGAATCTTGTGGAATCAACTGTGTTATGGGTACTAAAACTTTTAATAAGTCACTTGACTTTGGAGAAATTTCGAGAAATTTAAAAGAAACCAAATCCAATTTCTTATTACAAAAGCAGGGTTTATAAAATAATTTTTGAGCATAATATGTATAAGATTCTACTATGAATTTTCATATAATTATGCATTAATAATATAATATGATCGAATTTATAATAAATCAGATTTTAATCTATTTCATGATAAAATATTATTACCATTTTCTTTTTCATTATTCTCTTTATTATATAATTCTGGTATGATGTCTATAATTGTATTCATCCATCCAATATTATTAACTGCATTATTAGAATAATATTCTAAAAAACATGCCAGTATAGTACGGTCTTCAGATAGGCATATAGGTAAACCATTAGTATTTAACATGTACGATATATTTATAAAATGCCAGCACAGTTTAAGTATACAAACCAGAAAGGGCAGTACAAATTGTACTTATTCCACCCGACCAAGAAAAATACTGAGGTATATGAAGCGGCTCTCCAGAAGATAAAATGTCGTTTATTAGTTTATATTCCCTCGCTTCAATAAGAACACTCATCAAATCGTATCGAATATCCAACAACTTCCATTCATTTGGATACATTCTAATAAATCTCAATATTATTTTTCGTGTTTGTTCAACGATATTTCTGTACTCTAATTTTAGCTCACTAAAAAACAATTCAAACTTTTTATAAACAAATAAATATTTAAGTGAATAGCAAGCATATTTTACTGTAATCATAATATCATTTCTGTTTTCAATTTTGACTTGAAAAGTATTCTCAACTTGATTTTCAGAAGTTTCATCTTCAATCTGAATACTAAGCTTGAATTTTCCGTTGCAATAATTGATGTCTATTATTTTTATAAATTTTAATTCAGAATAAATTGCCTCCATAAATTTTTTTTCATAATTTAAGGACTGAGGCACATAAATGAATTCAAGATATCTTTTTCCTGGTCCTTGATCGTGCCAAACTTGAATTGTATGATTTCCAATTAAAAGAAGTTTTTCTTTTTTATCATCAAGATAGAATGAATATCGTGGATGCCTTCTATCATATTTTATCAGCCAAGGTTCAAGTATTTGATAATAATCTTCTAATTTTGATTCTTTGCCCTGAAGATCTAGGATATTATTATTATCGAGATCTTGCCTCGAAAAATAATCACTTGATAATGTTTTCCAATTTTGTTCGTCTTTCTTTAAACTTTTCAAATATTTATCTATGATCATATCATCATAAATAACTAGTTCGTCACCATTATCAACGACCATGAATGAATTTGATTGTTCTATTTTTGTATCAAAATCTAATGGAAGTTCTATTATAAATCCTAAATTCTCTAATTTAACAGAATCTCGTAATGAGCCAAAAATATCCCAAACAAACCATTTACTTTTTGAAAGTATAAGAAGCATTTCGTCATTGTGAAAAAAATCGACAAATTCTAATTCTGAATCTGGTATATCTGTTATAATCTCTGCTATTTCAAGACCGCATTCTATCGAATATATTTTGACTCCATTATTGAGTAAAGATACGTATGCTAATAATTTGCCATTGTTTGATATTGCATAAAGAGAAGACATATCAAAATTAAGTGGTCCGGGTAAGTTCTGTCTCTGAAAAGTATTTACTAACTGGTTTGTATTTAAATCGTATATTTCTATATATTTGATATCTTCACTCATAGTATCAACCAAAAAATAATGTTGATTTATGCATTTCTTAATCATATATTCGCACACCATATCATATGCATTTCTCTCTGGATTTTCAGGAAGATCCAAAAAAAAAGTCATGTTATGAATCATAGCGTTGTATACTCTTCTCGGGTACCTTAACTTTTGTATGTTTTTAATAAGTTTATTCTTTATTTGATACTTATAGATCCCTGAAAGTGTGAATAGAATAAGAGTGTATCCATCAGCGTTTTGACTGATTTTATCAGTTCTTTGCTTATCTTCTTCAGCCTTTTTATTATCTAAACTGTCTTTTTTAGAAAACAATTTAACTATTCCACCATATTTAATCGGTAATTCCTTATCATTAATAGCACTAATCAAATAATTTTCATTAATAATATTAATAATGAAAACGAATGTAAATCCATGATTAGGAATTTCTGATGGATGGATTTTATTGAAATTTTCCTCATAATATCTCATATCCTTAAGATTGATACAAGACATTGCTATTAATCTAAATTCCGATGAGCCAGTTGATTTATCTGACACAGCAACGGACCACCTAAATATGTTTTCATATTCATCCTTAATCAAATTGAGTTGCTTATCAGTAAATTTGAATGTAGTATGGATGCTGGAAAGTTTCTTGTATGATAATCCCTGGCCGTCTCCTATCTCTGGATCGCTCTCTGGTTTCAAGTCATCCTTTTGTTCCGAGTTATTCTCTAAAGTTGAGTCATCTGCATTATTCGAATTGTTAATATTATACATTTGTAACTCGAATTCTAAATCAGTTAAAAGATTTTAAAATTTTATTAATAGTACTAATCATTTATAAACAGTTATTGCACAATATTTTACCAAAATTTTTTACAACAAGTTCAACTAGAAAGTCGCCTTCTGGACTAATTGCAAAATACTTTTTAGGTTCATTTTCTTCACCTTCAGAATTATTTTTATCTTCTTTGTCCCCAGGCTCAAAAACTTCGACAACAAAGTCTTCATTTTGACTAGTAGATACTGACATACTGTTATCGTCTGACTCTAACGGCTAATATTACTCTTTAATGAGTTGAATATGAATTAGGTGAGAATTTTGTCGCATTTAAAATATCTTACGTGGCTTAAATGCATGAAAAAACGTTTATTGATATGGCTTAATAAATCAATATTTTATTTTATTTTATTATGGTAATAGTGGCTGCGAAATCAGGTTCGTAGAATATTTAATATCCAAATAACTGTTGATTAAGATTTTGGCCGGTAAGTGTACTGTGATTAGAAGATACAGTTCAAGAGCATGCTTTATAAGCCAGGTCTAAGGTCAGTGTTTATGGACAGTTATAATTGTTATGTAGCTATTTTTACGAGATATAACCTAACCTCATGAAAGTCTTGAAGAATCTTCGAAATTTGGAACTCTTTGTAAAAGATGAAAGACGAAAATAGACGGTCAATAGCGAAACAAATGAATTAAAATAATGACGAATACATGTATAATAACAATGGCTTTTTTGTTTACTGTATATTGCGAGTTTCAATACCTGGATTCTATAAGCAGTGGCCAACGACGCATATTTATGATAAATAAAATTCAAATGCAAACAATGCAAATGCAAATAAATCAAAGAAATCGTCCGTAAAGCTATTGGCTGAAAAATTTTGACTTTATGATTGGGCTGGTCTTCCGACTTCTTTGAATCTTCAGGAAATAATCTTGAATTAAAAGGATGAAAAACATTAGCGAATGTACTTTGCAAAAACTCTCGTCGAATTCTTTGAATCTTAGTTCGAATGACCTTGAATCCATTAGGAATGATTTTGTATTTACAATTTTTTTTTCAAGTCATCAGAAGGAAATCCATTTTAAAAGAACTCCACTTTGACTTCTTTGGTTCTTGGTAGTAATCATCTTGGGTTAGAGGTAAGAAAAGCATTATCAAATGCACTTTGTAAGAATTCTACGTCGACTTTCTTGAATCATAGTAATATTAATCTTGGAACAAAAAGAGGAAAAACATTAGTAGGTGCTCTTTGTAAGAACTCCACACTGACTTGTTTGAATCTTAAATTTAATAATCTTGGATCAGAAGGTGGAAAAACATTAGCAGATGCACTTTGCAAGAACTCCACACTGACTTGTTTGAATCTTAAATATAATACATCACCCATGTAATGTAAACTATCGACCAAATTGGTCAACTTTATATAGAAATTTTTTTAAAACAAAAACAATAGGGGTTTCAAAGTTAACAAATAAGTGACACATTTCGAAAATAAATAAGATTTTTTTCAATAGTATTTTTACTATGTTGAATTATAAATCGGAAAAATAAAATGAGATTCGCTGATTTTAACTTTGAAACCCCCTAATGTGTCTTTGTCTTTTCTACATAGTAAAAAGATTATTATTTTTTTTTGAACATAAAAAACGTTCGTTTTGTTTTGATAGTTGCCAAATCAATGATTAAAGAATTTGTATAATATTTTTCGTACAAAAAAAAAAAAACTTCAAAACAATAGGATGAATTAGTGAGATTTTTTGAAAACGTCTGGCAATGCAAGCTTCACATTTCTGTATTACATCTTCTCTTCAACCATTTGTTATGGGATATAACAACATTATATGCGAGTCTTTTCAAAATTTTATTATAACCAATGTATTTGAGTGCTTTGTCATTGCTGCAAATTAGCTTATAAAAACTTTCACTAGAAAATTGTGTTTCTAAATTACTCCAGTTTGCTTAAGTAAATAAATCTCTTAGTCTTACTATTATAAAGATAGTCCAATTTTTAAAATTTGAATTACATGATAGGTTTTGGATTCTTTAGTACGCTCAAATATTCAAGCTTTCAATATTTGATCAAAAATTCGTGATCTAGATGTTTTCATAGTTATTATTGAAGAAAAATGATTTTTATGAAAAATTTATTTATCTCATAAATTCGAAAGTAAGATTATTATTGTTTTTTCTTATTATATCAATGCAAAAATCACATCAATATTATTAATTACAGAATCATTGTAATATAAATTTAACATCTAATTGCATTAAAAATCAACTATACTTCAATCGGTAAGAATTGAAAGTAACACTTGCTGATTAAAAATTGTCAAAATTTTGTAATCACTGTAGAACACATATTGCAAAAATATACCCTTATAATAGCCCTTTAGTTCTGAACTAATCATTTGCTATAATGTTATTCAACTTTTTATTATTCAAGTCAGCTCATGATAATTTAGCAGAGTGTGCATTTCTTTTTCTGGTAATTTGAATTTTATTGTGTTAGCTTTTCACATTTGTTTTATACATCTACTTCTGAAATGTAATGATCTGAATTATAATTCTGCTGTATTTAAAGAAAATGTGTCACGATTTCGGCTGTTTACATTATCCTCATTTGTATAACACTAATTTAATTTTAACTTGTTTAAATTATATCTAATTTTATTATTTTATGTAACAGGCGGCCCGCTTATTTAATGGCTGCATTGTAATATATTTATTGGATTTCTTTGTAATAATTAAAGAAATAAGTCATTATTATGCATATTTGATTTATTACGTATAATTCACTTGTTATTGATATGAATCATTATATGCTAATGTATTGCATAATATTTTATTTTATGTGCTGTCTCATCAAAGAAAGATATTGTTTAGTTAACTTTTAGAGTGGATCCAGTATTTAAATCTAAAAACATTTGATTCTTAGATAAAAAAACTCTGTTATTTTTTATTAAAAATAATCTTTTTTCAACAATTTCTAAATACTACAAGAAAAACTTTGAAATTTGAATAATTCAAAAAATAAAGGGATGCATTTGAGAAATCTTTTTATTTTTCTGCGATTTTAAAAGTAATTCAAAAACACTAGTGATCGGTGGAGTCAACAATAACTTGCAAGATTATCCATTTAAAATGAAAATTTATAGAATTTCGTCAAACGCTGATTTAATTTTGAACTTAAATGGTTTTCTGATTATAAGATACATAAACTTGAATAAATTTCACACAAACAAATTTAGTAGATTAATGATATAATATTTGAAACTAATTGTTTGTTAAATTTTCATGTGAGTTTGAAATACTTCATATTCATTTATAAAAAATTGTCCATTCTTGACAATCTTATTTTGATATTGAGATCCATGCACACAAAGGCATCCTTTATCTTGACAATTATAACCGTAGAACATTTGAAGATTACCACCAACACCAAAATCTATGCCACGCTTAGCATTATCATAATAAAAAGCATTTTCTGGTTGTTGCACACGACTTAAAATAGAATTTTCTTGAACACTATTTTTCAATGAAAAAATAAAGCTATCGTGACAATTAATCTTACCCTTTTTGCTCCTATCCCATGCAATGGGATTATACCCACCAACAATCCTTTCACTATTGTTGGTGACTTTAATATTTATAACTGTAATAGTATTTTCTTTCAAATTGCATAAATTCCAAAATGATTCTCTATTAAACCTATCTCTGCTTCCACGGAGAAGTAATTTAAATTCATAAGGATTATTTGTTGTGTTATATGCAGTTGTAGTTTTATCAATCCATGATGCAATTTCAGCCGCGTGTTCTTCATTAATAACTGACGAAAATGGTTCTGTTGATCGGGTTGGTAAATCTGGTTTCGAAATAATACGAGGTGGTAGAATTGTTGATGAAATTTTATAATTGCTTAACATAAATTTTCCAGATAAGTCTTTCCATAGATTTTTTTCAAGGATCTGTGAATATGACCATATATTATTAAAAGCATCATCAGCAGATATTTGAAAATAACGAATAAAATGTAAAAGTTTTTTAAGGTAGACTTTAAAGTCATAAAATTTTCATAGGACCAATCATCAAGATCAGAAGGTAAGCCGGGGTTTTGCGCAATTCCCCATTTAATAACATTGTTCCATATTTTTATCTCTTCCATTTGCAAATCATCTCGTTCAATAAGTGAAATTAATGCGTCTTCTTTAAGAGTGACGAAATTTTCTGATTCAAAAATAAGATTTGGATATTTTGCCACAATATCGGTACACCATTTTTGTAATTTTTTGAGTTTCTTATTTTCGAAACTTGTCTTATGAATATTAGAAAATGAGAACGTAACCAATGAGCATTTGATTCAATTAAATGCGTTTCAATAACTTCCGTCAATTCTTCAAAAAGTAATTGATCAGTGACTAGCAAAAGATCAAAAATAAATTGAGCGTCAAATTCTTCTAGAGAAATCATTCCTCCATAGATGTACCTTACAATTAATCACGTTAAAAATTTTGCATATTAATTTAAATAACAACAGTATTAAGTATTATAACTTACTTACTTAATGATAATTTCGAATTGTTGAATAGAGATATGTGATTTTAAATTAATTGTTGAATAGAGATATGTGATTTTAAATTAATTCTTGTAATGTTATTTGTATCTTTGATGGCGTTTTCTAATTTATTCTGAAAATATTTAGACCTATATTTCAAAATTGCTGAGTATGTCTTAAATTCTTTAGAATATGGAAATTTTTCCACACTAATAATCACATTATAATCTTCTCCTTTCTCAAAAAGGTCAATATAATTATTCGAAAGTTTTTCAAAAAGTTTGATTACCATCTTTCGATAAATTTAAAATGATGAGTGTACATGCAAGATGTGAATCTGTGTTCGTTTATATACGTACGTACGTACGTACGAGTAAAATCAATAATAGTTTAAATTATTACAAATAAAGTAGTTTAAGCTTTTACTCTTGTATATAATTTATAGAATTTAGGCTTTAGACTACCCGTACGTACCTGGTACGTATATACTAGATTCTCGATTTTGATTGGCTAAGAGCGACGATCAAAAAATTAGGCCTCATAACCATTAAGTGGCTTATTTTTTATGAAAAACTTAAAAAAGTTAATTCCGACCGGAAGTTAGTAAATCATTTTGTAATGTGGGCCAAAATTTTGAAGATCTTCGGCCGTTAGCCAATCAAAATCGAAGAACTGCCGGTCCAATTTTGT